ATTGTATAATATATTTATATCTTATCAATAATTATTTATTTATTTTTCTATTAAACCAAATAAAAGTAAATTAAATTAAAATAAGATTTGAGTTTGATTTCATTCCATCGTAATAATCAGTTAAAACTAACTAGATACTGTATATTTTAGTGATTCAACTAATAACTCAATACTTTTTAATAAGTTATGTAAACCCAAATTACCTTTTAATTTTATTCTTACCGTATAACATTCACTAAATAATAGTAATGTAATATTACTACGGTTATAAAAAATCATTAGTCAAAAATAAATATCTTAAAACTTTTTAAAAATCATCAAAAAGTTATTCACTAACTAACTTGTACCGTAATATGTTATTTATAATTTAAAAGATAAATATTAAATAGTTTAACACTTTCAAAAAATTTTAACAAAAATCACTCTACATTTTTGGCGATAAATATTTTGTGCTTAAAATTTGTAATAAATTATACTAAAATGACAATCAAATAAATCTCAAATTAATATATTACTCTGTGCTTTATTTTACATATTATAATAACAAAATTCCATATAAGTTAAAACAATTTCACAATTAATATTACAATTAAATCTTAATAAAAATTAAAATAATCATAATCTAATTGTTTTTTCTAAATCGTTTAATACAAAATTAAAAGCAATAAAGTTTACATAACCGAGACTATACCTGTACAATATCATGGTTTAACGTATTTAACAAAGCGAACGGTGCCACAGGCCAGCCGTCCCCCGGAATTTCCAGAAGTTCTGCTCTCTCTATTAAGTCCGGCGCCTAAATCATCCGTATATTTATGCACTACTAATGAGCGACCGATAACACTGTATTTGCCAATGAGAGACACTTTATAATCGATAATGTGGACTCTACTGATGCCTTTGAGGTCGGCCTCAATATTGCCGAGATCTCCGATGTGAGCGTTCGGGTCATTGGGTCCGCCGTGTGTTTCATGAGTCGGGTTATAGTGCTCTCCAGCGCTCTCACAGTCAACGGTCACCGGCTTCTCATGGAAATGAAATCCATGCGAATAGAGTGGAGTTAAGCCGATAATATGGCCCGAGATATGGGTGGGCCCATCGCCCACTTGCACCAAATGAATCACTCCGTGAGTCAGACCATTACTCCTCAACACAACCACAGCCTTAACAAAAGGCTCGGACAGTGAACCGACCAGTGGTTCGGTTATGGGTCCCGTCAAAGGTATTGCAGAGATTGGAGTTAAAACTTTTGTGGAGACTGGAGGTGAGAGAGGATTAAGACTCGTTTCAACGGAATAATCCAATTCTTGAGGAAATTCTGCATCATTCACATGGCTGTCATCAAAGCCATCAATATTTATATCGGTTTGGAAAGTAGTTTTTAAGTATATAATAAACAATA